GCTCACTAATGCCAAGGATATCAATCTTTATGTGTTCCATTTCATTTTTGACAACTTCCAATTTTCCTAGATTCATACTTTGTACATTCCATGTTCCAATGATTAATGGATGTCTGCATCTGTTTCTCTTCAATTTGAGTGGTGCCACATCAGCAAATGGAGGTCTTGAAAACTTTACCTATCCATATGAGTAAGGCTTGGTTTACTCAGATGATGCAGCTCTTTCCCAGTCCTATTTTGAGAGCCTTCTAACCTAACCAGACTATTCATAAAGTTGCATGGTAGTGTATCAGTGTTTCTTTGTTATTCATAAGGTTTTCCGTGGCCAATTCTTTGAGAAGTGGATGGTGTCTTCCTTCTTACTAGTCTGTCTCAGTTTGTAAGCTAGCCTGATATCTGTGCACCATGTGCATCCCGCTGGGTTTGAAACACCAGTGGTCAGCCTCAAAACTCATATCAACACATCACCACAGTAGGACAAACTGACAGACACGTTTGTCTCCCTGTTGGAAACCTCTAGTACCACCCTTACCTGGGTCCCTGTGGCTGACTCCTCCTCTGTCTGGGTTCCTGGCCTTTTAATGTCCTTTCTCCCACTCTCCTGCCCTGCTGCTTTGGGCGTGCCTGGGTTCTCTCTCCTCACCTGGATCCCTGTGGCTGACTGCTCCTCTGTCCTGGTTCCTGGACGTTTTAATCGCCTTTCTCCTGCTCTCCCGTCCCACTGCTTTGGGCGTGCCTGGGTTCTCTCTCCTCACCTGGATCCCTGCAGCTGACTGCTCCTCTGTCTGGGTTCCTGGCTTTTAATCCCCTTTCTCCCGCTCTCCCATCCTGCTGCTTTGGGCATGCCTGGGTTGTCTCTCCTCACCTGGATCTCTGTGGTTGTCTTGGGTTAGGCATACCTTAGTTTTCAAAGTGACGTCTTTGCTCTGCAGCACTTTAAAGAGGTCTTTTGCAGCACATTTTTCCAGTGCAATATGATGTCTGATTTCTTGAGTGCTGCTTCCTTGGATGTTGATTGTAGATCCAAGTAAAATGAAATCCCTGAAACTTCAATCTTTTCTCCATTTATCACGATGTTGCTCATTGGTTCTGTTGTAAGGATATTTGTTTCCTTGATATTGAGGTGTAATCCATACTGAAGACTGTAGTCTTTGAACTTCATCAGTAAGTGCTTCAAGTCATCTTCATTTTCAGTGAGCAAAGTTGTGTTATCTGCATATTGCTGGTTGTTAATGAGTCTATCTCCAATCCTGATGCTTCATTCTTCTTCGTATAGTCCAGCTTCTCAGATTATTTGCTGGGCATACAGATTGAATAAGTATAGTGAAAGAACACAACCCTGATGCACACCCTTCCTGATTTTAAACCATGCAGTATGTGGTAGTTAAGGTTGTGTGTCAACTTGGCTGGGCCTGTTTGAGTGGCTGTGCAACTGGATGTAGTATTCCCCATGATGAGACTGGTAATCAACTCCATGGTGGAATCTACTGTGAACAGCTGAGTAACTGCCTTAGGGATGTGGTCTGCTTCCTGTATATAAGGAGGAGCCTTGGGGATAGTCTCTAGCTTATGGCACACTTGAACCCTGCATA